ACCTTTGCACCTCTTACTAGTCTTAATGCACTTTCTTCATCTCTCTATTTGTGGAACTTGTACTCAGCCAGCTTTCCTGTGGTTCTGGATAGTAGTTGTTCTGCCTTTTAGTTGTAATTTTGATGTACTTGTGAGAGGCAGTAAGTGTAGTTGTTCACCTATGTGGTTATCTTGGTTCTCTGGAAGGTCCTTTTTTATTACATTTTTACATTCCAGTTTTATTGTGTTGTGATTAAGGAGTGTTGTTTGTATATAATATTGCCACTTTATATAATTTACTGGTTTTCTTTTTTTTAATTTATTTTAATTAATTAATTAATTAATTAATTAATTTATTTATTTATTTTAATTCAATCTTTATTGTTTGTATTATTACAAAGGTTTCTCATTTCTTCCCCCCTCCACCAGGTTCCCACTCCCCCCCCTCTGCCCCCTCCCCACCCCCCCATTGTCCTCATCCATAGGTGCACAGTTTATGTTCAGTCTCTTCCTCCCTCCCTTTCCCCCTAGAACAGTCAGTCCACTCCCCTCCCATATCGCCAACTCTACTACAATGAACAGCTATTATTGTTCATCAGGTTTTTCAATCTCCTTTTTGTTGTTGTTGTTGTTGTTGTTGTTTTAATTAATAAACTTTTACACTTCTAAGAATAAATTTTAAAATCTAATAATTTTAAACCTTGTTTTTTTTCTGCCCTGGGAATTGAGATGCAAACTTGTTTACATGTAAACTTGCCCTTAGGCTATCAAAAGGTGTAGCCATTCAAGTGTAAATGGACAGATTGTTTAAAGATAGCTGCTGGTTGGAATTGGATTACCTGTTCTGGGTGGGAAGGGCTTGTCCATTAAAATTTCTCCATTAAAATTAAGGTGTTAGCTTTAAAACCTCTTTTTGGCCAAGAGACCTTAAACTTTCAGAACTTTAAATTTTTCAGATAGTAAATCAGTACTTACCATTTTCTCAAATCAATAATACCTCCACATGCCCAAAGGTACACTTCACACAAAAGACATTTCCAAATAGATCAACCAACCTCATCTAGGCCTCACACAAGGCACTCACAGATCAACACCCCAGCGCTATACTAACTCAACATATCCAGATCTAAGCCTTCATCACTTGATTCAGCAGACCCTCAAGTTCCCCCAAAAGTTTCCAGCCATGCCTGAGGGGCAGCCTTGGGGCAGAGGCAGGCAAGGAGCGAGCTGTTCCGGGTCTGGCTGCTCGGACCCGACCTCTGTTGCTCTGGTCAGTTCCACAACCAGCTGCTCCAGGTCTGGCCACTGCTGCTCCCGGCCTGGCCACTGCTGCTCCGGGTCTGGCCGCACCCGACCTGGCTGCTCTGGGCCCGGCCGCTCTGGGCCTGGCCGCTCCTGGCCTGGCAGCTGCTGCTCCGGGCCTGGCTGCTCCCGACAGGGCTGCTCCGGGCTTGGTTGCTGCTGCTCCAGGCCTGGCCGCTCCCGGCCTGGCAGCTGCTGCTCCGAGCCTGGCTGCTCCCGACCTGGCTGCTCCGGCCCAGCTGCTCCGGGCCTAGCAGCTCCCGTCCTGGCTGCTCCAGGCTTGGTTGCTGCTGCTCTGGGCCTGGCTGCTCCCAACCTGGCTGCTCTGGGCCCGGCTGCTTCAGACCTGGCCGCTCCAGGCCTGGCCGCACCCGACCCGGCTGCTCTGGGCTCGGCAGCTCTGGGACTGGCTGCTCCCAGCCTGGCAGCTGCTGCTTTGGGCCTGGGTGTTCCTGGACTGGCCACCCTGGGCTTGGTCGCCTCTGCCTCAGGCCTGGCTGCCACTGCCTCAGGTCTGGCTGCTCCAGGCCTGGCTGTTGCTGTTCTGGTTCTTGCTGCTGCTGCTGCTCTGGGGCCTGGCTGTTGCTGCTCCGGGCCCAGCTGCCACTGCCTTGTGCCTGGCCACTCTAGGCCTAGCCGCCGCCATTCCAACATTCTGTCATTTGTTTTTAAAACGCATTTATGTTGCAATGTTGGCTGCTAAGTTGAGTTCTGACTTAGTCTTCGATTTTTCAAGATCTTCTTTGTATTCTTTCTTAAGTAATTTTACTATCTTTTGCTCTCACTTGATTTCTTCACATTGAAATCTTGTTCGATTTCTTCCTCCTTGTCCTGGAAGCTCAGCAGGTTGGTCTGCAGCACCCCTTTGTTCTTCACGGGCTCCTGCGCGGCTTCAGCCTGTTGCCGGGGTTGGCACCTCCCAGGAAGCAGCCCCCGGCCTCGGCTCTGTGGCCTGCGCTCAGCAGTCGAGGGCCCAGGGGCATCCCTCTCCCAGGGGCCCCCATCACCTGGCTCTTTGCTAGCGCCCAGCTGGCTGGTGTCTGGTAGGGGATCCTGCTCCTCCTTGCGTTCCTCCCAGTCTGGAGCTTTTTTTCCTCCTTCCCGTTAGGGGAGTCTAGCATCAGAGTCAACAGACTGTCCTCTGCGCGCAATATGCGTGACTCCTGGGGCTCCGCTTTTCGCCTCTCCCCTGGGATTCTGCCTCACAGCCCCGTCTCCCCCTGCCTGAGCCTGGGTCTCCAGGGTCTGGCCTAGAACTGGGGTTCAGAGCAGTCAAAACTGGGGCCCAGCACGGCCGGAGCTCCTGTTACCTTCCCTCCAGGGCAATCCAGCATCAGAGTCAACATTCCGTCCTCTGCGCGCAATGTGCATGACTCCGGGGGCTCGGTCTTTCGCCGCTCCCCTGGGACTCCGCCTCACAGCCCCGTCTCCCCCTACCCGAGCCTGGGTCCCCAGGGTCTGGTCTGGAACTGGGGTTCAGAGCAGTTGAAACTGGGGCCCAGCATGGCCGGGGCTCCTGTTTCCTTCCCTCCAGGGCAATCCCGCATCAGAGTCAACATTCCTTCCCTTGCGCGCAATGTCTGTCCTTTGCACGCAATGTGCACGACTCCAGAAGCTCTGCTTTTCACTGCTCCCCTGGGATTCTGCCTCACAGCCCCATCTCCCCCTGCCTGAGCCTGGGTCTCCAGGGTCTGGCCCATATCTGGGGCTCAGCGCTGCTGGTTCTGGGGTTCAGCCCAGGTCTGGGCTTTTATTTCCTTCATGCTAGGGAATGCCAGGCAGGCACCCAGCCTTCTCCTTCTCTCTGGCTGCGTCCTCTCTGCTCGCGCACCTTAGGCTTTTTCAGCTCCTCTGATTTTCCTTCTGGTTTTCTCTTTCCTTCTTGTTGTAGAATTTTCAGTCAGTCGACTACCTGTAGCTCTGAGCAATGTCCACTCTACATTTTAGTTGTATTCCATTGAAATTGTTATGTGCTGCTGCAGTTAGGTGTCTACCTGAGCAGCTATCTTGAATCCTCCAGTTTAAAATAATTTCTACTGGTTTTCTTTATATCTTAATATACAACTTAATTCTGTGATTTTCCCCCCGCCGTGAACACTTGAAAAGAAGGTATGTTTTCTATTGTTTGAAAATAGTCTGGGCCTGTCAGAATGTATTTCATATATTCTCCTTTATTACATTGGTTCTACTTTATTACACTGTTGGTTTTTTAAAATGTCATAATTTATTTTTGTCTACTAAACCTGTCAAATTGTTTTATATAGGTGATTATGTTGCTTGGTATATAGATACTCTTAAATGTGGTATCTTCATTATGGAATGTGAGTTTTAACATTATAGAGCATCCTTATTTGTCCAAAGAAATGCTGTTTTGGTTGAATATTTTGTTTTGAGGTTGCATATTCTACTTTCTTAGTAATTTCATTTTTTTGTGTGATAAATATTTGTCTATCATCTTATTTTTAACTTTTTGAATCACTGCATTTAAGGTGTGTCTTTTAAAAATAGATTTTTATTATTGATTTCAGAGAGGAAGGGAGAGTGAGAGAAAAAAATCAGTGATGGGTGAGAACCATTCATTGGCTGCCTCCTGCACACTGGGATTGAGCCTGAAGCATGTGCCCTGACTGGGAATTGAATCATGACCTCCTGGCTCATCAACCACTGAGCAACACAGACTGGGCTAAGCTGTGCCTTTTATATATAGCACAATATTCATTGATTCATAAGTCAGTTTGAAAATTTTTTAAATATTAAAGTTATGACCATATTGATATGATTATCAAATGTTAGCATGCAAAGGAATCTACCGAGGGGCTGGTTTATACACATATTGCTGGCCCTACTCTCAAAGTTTTTGATTTAGTAGGCTGAAATGAAGCCTGAGAATTTGCATTACTAATAAATCTGGATGGTTGTTTAGGTCTTGGGTTCACACTTTTTTGACTATTGATCTATAGTTAGTGTTTCAGAAGGGAAACTTTAAGTTATCCTGATTTTTGTTTTTTGTTTTTAAGTAACATTTCTTCTTTCTGTCTGAATGCATGTAGTAATATTTTTCTTTAATAGTTTATGTCAAAATTTTTTTTTTATCTCTGATAGTGTGTGTGTGTGTGTGTGTGTGTGTGTGTGTGTGTGTGGTAAGTGTTATCATTTTAGCAGTTCATTTTCTAAGTAGTAAATATTGACATTTTAAACTGTGTGATTGATTTTATATATTTAGTTTCTCATAAGTTCCTATATGAGACCTTTGCATTTTCTTTGAAAAGTATTTAGTAGTAGTAGTATTTTATATTTTGATTTTTAGGCCCTTTAGCAGAAAAAAATATATTAAAGAGGTAATGTTTGGTAAGGTAATACTTGCTTTTCATTATTGTACTCTCTTCTATGTGACTAAATAATGCTCTTTTGAGATGAATTTAAATTTTATTTTCTAAACCTAAATTAAAAAATATAAAATCATATATGTAAATTATTTTGGGATCTCTTTTAATATAGATCTATAAAAATGAAAATATTTTGCTAAAACTAAGTTGTCTATGCAAGTTGTATTAAAATATATCTATGAATATTAAAATGTTGTTATTTTGGATTATAGATTTATGTTTTAATAATTTGTATATTTTGGGATTGAAAATTGCAAGACTTAAATGAAATGTTTTATCACACATTGTGAAGAATTTTATTTTAAAATGTTTAATTGCAACTTTGTTTTCCAGATTTTGGAATCTCTTTTTAAGGTATGTTCAAAATATGCAGTTTAAGTTTACTAAAATTAAATACAGAAATATATGTAAATGAAGTTTCTAAGGTTTGAGGTAGTAAAATTCTTTTACTTGCTGCTATATATATTTAAAAATTTTATATTCCAATTGTATGCTACACTAACCCTCTTCTGAGTCCTAGGATAAATGATGTTTGGCTCAGTACTAATTTTAGATATATGAAAATTCTCTTTTCACTGTCTCTCTTTCTCGCACACATAAATACACACACACACACACACACACACACACACACACACGCATACACACATACCCATTTGTTTTACTGCAGAAATTTAACTTGTCAATAATTATTTATTTTCTGTTCCTTTAAAACAAAAGTGGTTTCAGCGACAGGTCAATCAAATGGAAGAGGTAAGTAAAACATTTCTTAATTGTTAAATTAATATTTTATCTCATTTATAAACCAATTTGAAGTATAAGTTAAATTTTTTTGAGTAACCATTAATTATAATGTTGATTTACATAGAGAAATAATGAATGGATAGATACAAATGTCTCAGTGCACTACATTCCTGTTTATATCTGGTATACTCTGAGTTTGGTACATTCTTTCATCTAAAATTGGACAATAGAAATTTAATTATTATTCTTTCCCTAATTTATATAAAATAATAAGTGACTAGAGAAAACTTATCAAGTTAAAAATTTCCTCTATTTAAATAATCATGCATAATATATATGCTTACTATTAAATTATATATTTGTATTTTTAAAAATTTAATGTTATTTTAATGATTTTTTTGTATTATTTGATTTTCAGGTGCTTTAGTACCTTTTAGAAACTATTGGTGTCTGTTCTTAGGGGTTTTAAATTCTATTTTGGAAAAGACTTTATGTAATTTGTTTATATAGCAAAGTGATTTCCAGGATAGCTTTAGTGATTCATGGAATTATTTTAGTTTTCCCTTGGATATGTTTGTGGCTTAGCCCAATTAAACACTCTTGAAGCCCAAACACTTTAAAGAGTATACTTTATTTATTTGGAATATAAATTAAATATTAAAGTTAGACATGGAATCCTAGCAGTTTTTTAAAAATTTTATTTTATTATTTTACCTTTGGCCCCAAAGTAAACTTTTATGATCTTGCACTCTTTGCTTTAGATATGCTGACACTGGAAGAGTATTGGTAATTGTTCTTTGAGTATGGTAGATTGGTCATTATCTTTCCAGAGAAGTAGGATTGGGGTGAACTATTTCCCCTCACCCTTTTATAAAATCGGTACTTCTTTGCAATTTGGGTAATGCAGCTTATCTTTTGTCTTCTTCTTCTTTTTTTTTTTTTGTATCAACCTCTTTTTATTCTATTTTTTTTCATGCAGTTATCTCACTCCCTTCTTTATACACTTTGTGTCAGTATGTGAGACCCATCCTAAACTCTGGTTTCTCAGTTTCTTTACCTTCTTATCTCTGAAAATCTCTGTCCTTCTTTATCTATGGCCCCACTTCTGGTCACACTTTAGCAAGTGGTTGTCAACCTTTCTAATGCCTCGACCCTTTAATACAGTTCCTCATGTTATGGTAACCCCCAACCATAAAATTATTTTTATTGCTACTCCATAACTGTGATTTTGCTACTGTTAATGAATCATAATGTAAATATCTGTGTTTTCTGATGGTCTTAGGCGATCCTGCTAGCGGACCCTGCTGCTATAGAGCCTAAAACCATCAGAGTTAGTAGTAGAAGATATTAGCATTTGACAACAAATTATTGTGTCTTTCCATAGTTTATCATAATAATAGTATTCTTAGAATGGATTTTGAGGAAGTTATTACTTTAAAATTTCTTGTAAATAATTTGAATTGCATTTAATGTTGCTACAATTGTTATTGCATTTGCTTAAAATTCTTAAATGTTAAAATAATAATAAGAATATTGGATTTGAGTTTTGACATGTAAAAGTCAACACTTAGCTGTTATTATGTTGCTAGGTATTTGCCCATATCAGTATTTTGTAAAATATTTGTATTTGATTATAGCTATGGATAGGAATAATATAAAGTTATTTAGATACAATAAATGAAACAATGATATTTCTTTGAGGTAAGGGGACAAAATATGTCATTTCCTAAATACTTTGTTAATTTTGTTGTTTTAGATAAGTAAAGATCAAAGTTTTTCAGAAAGAGAGTTTCCAGTACCTGATAAAGCAATCACTTTAAGCATTGCACAGATAGTTAAGCAAGTGCAAAAACTTGAAGAACTGAAAAATCGACTTAAAAGATCTACTAAACACCCCTCAAAAGTCATGCTCTTTAAGCCCAAGTAAGTAAAATATGAGTTAATAGAATTGAAAACAAGAGTGGGTATGTAAGTAGTAATGAATGTAAGATAACGTTTTAAATATACTATCTGTAGAACTAAGTCAAATCAGAAGGTCTAGTCAGTTTGTACCTATTTGAAAATTTTAATAGTTTGAATTGGTACTATTTAATACAATGGACACTAGCCTTTTTGTGGCTAATAAAGTTAAAATTCAATTTAATTAAAAATAATTTCTGTGTTGATTATAATAGAATCAGAGATACGGGAGGGGAGTGGACTGACAATTCTCAGGGGGAAAAGGGGAGTGGTGGATGCGGGAAGAGACTGAACATAAACTGTGCACCTATGGATGAGGACAATGGGGGGTGGGGAAAGGGCAGAGGGTGGGGTGGGAACCTGGTGGAGGGGAGAAAAATGAGGAACTTTTGTAATAATATGAACAATAAAGATTGATTAAAAAAATAAATAAAAAGCAATTTCTGCCCTAACCTGTTTGGCTTAGTGAATAGAGTGTTGGCCTGCGGACTCAAGGGTCTTAGGTTCAATTCTGGTCAAGGGCATATACCTTGGTTGTAGGCACATACCCAACAGGAAGTGTGCAGAAGGCAGCTGATTGATGTTTCTCTCTCATCGATGTTTCTAACTCTCTATCCCTCTCCCTTCCTCTGTGTAAAAAAATCAATAAAATATATTAAAAAAAAACAACACACACACAATTTCTTAGTCATACTAGCTACATTTCAAATTACTCTTTTTAGTATGATTGGGTAGAAAACTAAAGTATAATTAAATATTTTCTTATTCTTAAACATAATTATTTAAAATTGCATAAGAACAGGACATGTTCCAATAAGTAAATTCCTACTTTTTAATTGGGAAATCCCCTTCCCTGTCACCCCCCACCCCTGTTGGTGGAAGATTCAAATGAATGATTACAGTGATAATTCCATTTCTGTTGATGCTGATTTTTTATATTTGAGGGTTAGCTGTCTTGGAATAAATAGATGAGTAAATCATCATTATATAATATCTTCAGTAATTTTTTTTTTTTTACCTCACATAGTTACTGTGTGTATGTGTGGAATGGGTGAGAAAACTTCAGACCCACTTTCTTAGCAAATTTTAAGTATACAATATAATAATAGCATTATTAACTACTGATGTACATAAGATCTCTCAAATTTATTCAACTTATAACTGAAAGTTTGTATCCATTAAGCAACATTTCTGAATTTCCCCAATGCCTCAATCCTTGGAAACCACTATTGTACTCTCTGGTTCTAAAAGTCTGACTTTTTCATGTTTCACATATAAGTGAGATCATTTACTTTCTCTGTCTGGCTTATTTCACTTAGCATAATATCCGCTGGGTTTATTCATGTTGTGACAAATAACAACATTTCCTTTTGTTTATGGATGAATAAATTTTATTGTATATATTTGCCACATTTCCTTATCCATTGTTAGGTTGTTTCCATATCTTGGCAGTTTTAATATTGCAGTAAACAAGATATCTCTTTGAAGATAGATTTCCTTTTTTTTTTTTTTTTTTTTTTTTTTTTGAAATGGGATTGCTGGGTCTTATGGTGGTAGTTTTAAAAAAAAATGTTTTGAAACCTACTGTTATACAAAAAGGTTATATCAATTTACATTATCAATAGCAGTGTACAAGCGTTCCCTGTCTCTACCTTCTTTTTAAAAAAATATATTTTATTGATTTTTTTTTTTACAGAGAGAAAAAGAGAGGGATAGAGAGTTAGAAACATCGATGAGAGAGAATCATCGATCAGCTGCCTCTTGTACACCCCCTACTGGGGATGTGCCCACAACCAAGGTACATGCCCTTGACTGGAATTGAACCTGGGACCTTTCAGTCCACAGGCTGACGCTATATCCACTGAGCCAAACCGGTCTTGGCTGTCTCTACATTTTTACCAACACTTATCTCTTGTCTTTTTGATAGTAGTCACCCTCACAGGTATGAGGTGCTATCTCATTGTGGTTTTGATTTGTGTTTCCCTGATGATTAGTGATGTTGAGTATCTTTTTATGAATCTGTTGGCCATTTGTATATCTTCTGTGGAAAATGCCTATTCATTTGTCTATCTCTTTGCGATTTTAAAATTTGGGTTATTTGGTTTTTGCTATTGATTTGTATGAGCTGCTCATATATTTTGGATATTAATTTCTTATTAGATATATAGTTTACAGATATTTTCTCCTTTTCTGTAGCTTTCTTTTTCATTTTGTTGCTATTTCCTTCATAGTACAGAAACTTTCATATTTGATGCAATTGTATTTGTTTATTTTTGCTCTTGTTGGCTGTGATTTTGGTTTAATAACCAAGTATCATTGCCAATACCAATTTCAAGTAGTTTTCCTCCCATGTTTTCTTCTAGGAGTTTTATAGGTTCAGGTCTTACACTTACGCCTTTAATCCATTATGTGTTCATTTTGTGTGTGGTGTAAGATGATGGTCCTATTTAATTCTTTTACCTATACATATTCTGTTTTCCCAGCACCATTTATTGAAGAGAGTATCCTTTCCCCATTGTGTATCTTTGGCATCCTTGTCAAAGATGAATTGACTGCATGCATGAAGGCTATCTGTTCTGTTCCATTGGTCTGAATGTATTTTTTATGCCAATACCACAATGCATTAATTACTATAATTTGAAATCAGGAAGTAAGATTCCTCCAGCTTTGTAGCTATTCTTTTAAAAAAAAAACATTTTTTTAAAGTTTTCTGAAGAATTGGCTGTTCAGGCTCTTTTATGGTTCCATATGAATTTTAAGATTCTTTCTCTTTTTTAAAAAACACTTAATTTTTATTGTTAACACTATTTCAGATGTCCTCATTTTTATCTCCTTTGCCCAGCTATACCCATCCCCTGCCCCCCTCCCTCTGGCCATCACTACACTTTTGTCTGTGTCTATGGGTTATACATATGTGTTTTTTGGCTGTTCTTTTCACCTTCTTGCATCCAGTCCCCCGCTTACCCTCCTTTCTATCAGCTATCAGTTCCATATATCCATTCCTCAGTTTCTATTTTGTCAGTTTATTTTGTTAGATTCTAGTTTTAAATGAAATCACGTGAGATTTGTCTTTCTCTGACTGGCTTATTTCATTTAGCATAATAATCTACAGGTCCATTCATGCCATTGCAAAAAGTAAGACTCTTCTTTTCATAGCTACATAGTATTCCATTGTATAAATGTCCCATAGCTTTTTTATCCACTCATCTGCTGATAGATACTTGGGCTGTTTCCAGATCTTGGCTATCGTAAATAAACCTGAAATGAATATAAGAGTGCTTATATATTTTTGAATTGTTTTTTTTTTTTTTGGATTCTTAGGATATATTCCTAGAGTTGGATTCACTAGGTCAAGAGGCAGTTCAATTTTTAATTTTTTGAAGAAACTCCATATTCTTTTACACAGTGGCTATACCAGACTGCATTCTATTTCTGTGAAAAGTGCCATTGGAATTTTGATAGCGATTATATTGGATCTGTAGATCACTTGGGATAGTATGGACATTTTAACAATATTAATTATTTCATTCTATGGAATATTTTTCATTTTTTTCTATTATTCTGTTATCTTTAATCACATTTGGTATAGTAATTTATCTAAGTAAAAATTGAAAATTATAAACAACTTTTTTTGCATTAAGCATATACCAAACCTTTTAATTTTGTAGTGTTAAAATAGAAAATATCTGTAATTGGGAAGGGTTACTATTTATTATGCAATTACTTTATTGATAGCTCCATTTATCACTGACTAGCCTTAAGTGAATAAAGGGAGTGGTACATGATTTGGCTCCAATGGAAATTGCATAATAGAGCCTTGATTAAGAGGCTCAGATATATTCCATTGAGCTATCTATTGTGAGGCACAAAATTAGTTTCTAATCATATATTAATATTAATACCTGAAGTGTAATTATCTGATGTTTGCTAGGTATTTTTCTTGTAATTTTATATTTACCTTTGATCCTTACAAATGCTTTATGCAATAGGTACTCTAATATTTTGCTTTTAATAGATGAAGAAATTAAAGCTCAGAGAGGTTAAGTAACTTAAGTACTCAAGGTCACATAATAAATGGGTAAAATGTTTTGAGCAAAGTATTTTGACTTTAAATTTGTACTTTTAATGCATATACCATTAATAATAATTGACAAAAAAAATGTCTTGCTTCTACCCAATTCACTTTTGCTATTTTTGTTGTTAATATTGTTGGTATATTTATAGAATTTAAAAAAATTACATAGTTTGACCTATTTACTTGCTAATCATTTACTTTATTGTCTGTGAATAAAAGTTAAAGAACATCTTAAATTTTATTTTACAAACTATATATTCTAGTTATTATTTAATAATCTTATTCTTTGATAATAAATATTTTATTTTTTGACATTTTAACAGGGAAATTGAAAGTCCACCAGAAGCAGTGCTAAGTTATGAAAATGTACAGCAGAAAATTGAAGGTGATATATATATATATATTTTTTACATATTTTATTGATTTTTTTACCCCCTCCCTCCCTCCCACACATCCCCTCCCTCCCCAGAGTTTTATGTCCATTGGTTGTACTTATATGCATGTATATAAGTCCTTCGGTTGATCTATTATCTCCCCCAGATCTTCCTCCCCTCCCCACTGTAATTTGACAGTCTGCCTGTTGCTTTACTTTCTCTATCTCTGTCTCTTGGTTCATCAGTTTATAAAGAGCTTTATCGTCCACCAATGAGTGAGGTCATGTGGTATTTCTCTTTCATTGATTGGCTTATTTCACTCAGCATGATGTTCTCCAATTCCATCCAGGTTGCTGCAAATGATGAGAATTCCTTCTATTTTATGGCAGCATAGTATTCCATTGTGTAGATGTACCAAAGTTTTTGGATCCAATCATCTGACGGGCACCTAGGCTGTTTCTAAATTCTGGCTATTGTAGATTGTGCTGCTATGAACATAGGGGTGCAAATATCCTTTCTGATTGGTGTTTCTAGTTTCTTGGGGTATATTCCTAGAAGTGGGATTACTGGGTCAAATGGGAGTTCCATTTTCAGTTTTTTGAGGAAACTTCACACTGTTCTCCACAGTGGTTGCACCAGTCTGCATTCCCACCAGCAGTGCATGAGGGTTCCTTTTTCTCCACAACCTCGCCAACACTTGTTGTTTGTTGATTTGTTGATGTTGGCCATTCTGACAGGTGTGAGATGGTACCGTATTGTTGTTTTGATTTGCACCTCTCGGATAATTAGTGACTTTGAGCATGATTTCATGTGCCTCTTGGCCTTCCTTCTGTCTTCTTTTGAAAATATTCTAATCAGGTCCATTGCCCATTTTTTAATTGGATCATTCATCTTCCTTTTATTTAGTTGTATAAGCTTTCTGTAGATGTTGGAGATTAAACCTTTATCAAGGATAACATTTGCAAATATGTTCTCCCATACAGTGGGGTTTCTTGTTGTTTTGTTGATGGGTACTTTTGTTGTAAAAAAAAGTATTTTATTTTGATGTAGTCCCATTTGTTTATTTTCTCTTTAGCTTCCATTGCCCTAGGGGCAGTATCAGTGAAGAAATTCTTTTGCCATATGTCTGAGATTTTGCTGCCTGTGGATGCCTCTAGTATTTTTATGGTTTCCTGTCTTATGTTTAAGTCCTGTATCCATTTTGAGTTTATTTTTGTGTATGGTGTAAGTTGGTGATCTAGTTTCATTCTTTTGTATGCATCTGTCTTGACTCCATTGTATATTCGTGCCTCCTTTGTCAAATATTAATTGAGCATAGTGATTGGGTTGATATCTGGGTTCTCAATTCAATTCCATTGATCTATATGTCTGTTTTTGTGCCAGTACCAGGCTGTTTTGAGAACAGTGGCTTTGTAATATAGTTTGAAGTCTGGTATTGAGATCCCTCCTACTTTACTCTTCTTTCTCAGGATTTCTGTGGCTATTCGGGGTCTTTTATTGTTCCAAATGAACTTTTGGAGAGTTCTTTCTAGGTCAGTGAAATATGTCGTTGGTATTTTAATGGGGAGTGCATTGAACTTAGAGATTGCTTTAGGAAGTATGGACATTTTGATGATGTTGATTCTACCAATCCATGAACATGGTATGTTCTTCCATCTCCTTACATCTTCCTCTATCTCTTTTTTCAGTGTTGTGTAGTTTTCTGCATATAGGTCCTTTACTTCCTTAGTTAAATTTATTCCTAAGTATCTTAATTTTTTTGATGCGATGGTAAACGGAATTGCTTTTTTAGCCTCTGTTTTATTAGTTTTGCTGTTGGTGTATAGAAATGCCATGGATTTCTTGGCATTAATTTTGTATCCTGCTACGTTGCCAAATTCATTTATTAAGTTAATTAGTTTTTTAATGGAGTCTTTTGGGTTTTTTATGTACAATATCATGTCATCTGCAAATAAGGATAACTTTACTTCTTCTTTTCCAATTTGGATGCCTTTTATTTCCTCCTCTTGTCTAATTGCAATGGCTAGTACTTCCAGAACTATGTCAAACAGGAGTGGCGAGAGTGGGCATACCTGTCTTGTTCCTGTTCTTAGAGAAAATGGTTTTAGTTTTTGCCCATTGAGTATAATGTTGGCTGTGGGTTTATCATATATAGCTTTTATTATGTTGAGGTATGATCCTTGTACTCCCACCTTGTTAAGAGTTTTTATCAGGAAGGGGTGTTGGATTTTATCAAATGCTTTTTCTGCATCAATTGATATGACTATATGATTTTTATCTTTCAATTTGTTTATGTGATGTATCACGTTTATTGATTTGCGGATATTGTACCATCCCTGCATTCCTGGAATAAATCCTGCTTGGTCATGGTGTATGATCTTTGTGATTTTCTTCTGGAGTCGATTTGCTAGAATTTTGTTGAGGATTTTGGCATCTATGTTCATGAGGGATATTGGCCTGTAATTCTCTTTCATTGAGTTGTCTTTGTCTGGTTTTGGCATTAGGGTGATGCTGGCTTCATAGAAGGAGTTTGGAAGTGTTCCTTCCTCTTGGATTTTTTTGAGTAATCTGAGGAGGATATGTTTTAGTTCTTCCTTGAATGTTTGGTAAAACTCTCCTGTGAAGCCATCTGGCCCTGGGCTTTTGTTTGCTGGAAGATTTTTGATGACTGTTTCAATTTCTTCCCACATCACTGGTCTATTGAGATTTTTAGATTCTTCCTGATTGAGTTTTGGCAGTTTGTATTTTTCTAGGAATATGTCCATTTCCTCCAGGTTGTTCAGTTTGTTGGAATAGAGTTGTTCGTAGTATTTTGTAACAATCTGTTGTATTTCAGTTGGGTCTATTGTTATTTCACCTCTTTCATTTCCGATTTTGTTTATTTGGGTCCTCTCTCTTTGTTTCTTGGTTAGCCTGGCTAGAGGTCCATCTATCTTGTTTATCCTTTCAAAGAACCAGCTCTTGGTTTTGTTGATCTTATGTATTGTTCTTTTGGTCTCTATGTCATTTATCTGTGCTCTGATTTTTGTTATTTCCTTCCTTCTGCTTACACTGGGTTTTTCTTGTTGCTCTTTTTCTAACTCTTTGAGTTGTAGAGTTAGATCATCTGTTAGCCTTTTTTCTAGTTTTTTTGCAATAGGCTTGTAAGGATATGAACTTCCCTCTTAAAACTACTTTTGCTGTGTCCCATAGATTTTGGATTGTTGTGTTTTCATTGTCATTTGTTGCCAGGATGTTTTTAATTTCTTCCTTGATTTCTCCGGTAACCCAGTCCTTGTTTAATAGCATGTTGTTTAGTCTCCATGTGTTTGATTTCTTTGGATTATTTTTATTGTAGTTAATTTCCAGTTTTATGCCATTATGATCTGAGAAGATGCTTGGTATGATTTTTATCTTCTTGAATTTGAAGAGACTTTACCTATGTCCCAAAATGTGGTCTATCTTTGAGAATGTCCCATATGCACTTGAGAAGGATGTATATTCTGTGGCTTTGGGGTGGAATGTTCTGAAGATATCAATTAATTCCATCTGGTCTAGTGAGTCATTTAGGGTTGATATTTCTTTGCTGATTTTTTGTTTAGATGATTTGTTGAAGGGTGACAGTGGGGTATCAAAATCTCCTACTATGATTGTATTGCTATTAATCTCTCCCTTAATGTCCTCCAGCAGTTTTTTTTAATGTATTTGGGTGCTTTTATATTGGGTGCATATATATTTACTAGGGTTATTTCTTCTTGTTGGATTGTTCCCTTTAGTATTATGGCCTTCATTATCTCTTGTTATGTCCTTCATTCTGAGATCTAATTTGTCAGATATAAGTATTGCTACCCCAGCTTTTTTTCATTTCCATTTGCCTGTAAAACTTTTTTCCATCCCTTCACCCTCAATCTGTGTGCATCTTTTTTTCTGAGGTGGGTTTCTTGTAAACAACAGATGTATGGGTCTTGTTTTCTTATCCAATCTGACACCCTATGTCTTTTGATTGGAGCATTTAATCCATTTACATTTAAGGTTATTATTGATAGGTACTCATTTGACGCCATTTTTATTCTATACCTGTGTTCCTTCTTCACTTCCTATTTCTTTATTTTTACAGTAGATCCTTTACCATTTCTTGCATTGCTGGTAAAAATATGGAACGCTTCACGAATTTGCATGTCATCCTTGCGCAGGGGCCATGCTAATCTTCTCAGTATCGTTCCAATTTTAGTATATGTGCTGCCGAAGCGAGCACTGAAGGTGACCTTTTATATATGGTTGCATTTATGAAGTTTTCCTAAATACATTAACTTTTTGAGATTTATAGTTTAAAAATTCATAGCCATTAAATTATATAATAGTAAATTTCAAAAGATGTTATTAGAAGGAAAGGAGGAGAGGTAGTAAAGGGTAAAGGGAGTCAAATATATGGAGATGGAAATAGTTTTGACTTTGTGTAAACAAGTAGTACAATATACAGATGATGTATCATAAAATTGTACACTTAAAACTTGTAACATTTTATTAACCAATGTCCCCTCAAAACATTGGTTGCTTTCTGCATGCACCCTAACCAGGGTCAGGGAACCTGCAACCAAAGTATGTGCCCTTGACCAAAATTGAACCTTTCAGTCCGTGGGCTGACAATGCTCTATCCACTGAGCCAAACTGGCTAGGGCACCTCCATACATTTAATTAAAAAGATATTTAATAGTGAATTTGAAAAAATAGTTTTTATATTTTCAATAAAAATTTTTACTATATTGCAAATTCTAGGAGTGTATAAAATGAATACAATTTGATTGTTGCTTCCATAAAACCCACAACTTCTTAGGGCACAAGCACATAATATTTTTTTTAATGAAATGCATGATAATTGTTTATATCATATGCAGTGAGTCTATAGAAAGGAGCCAATTTGTTCAATTTGAGAGGAAGATTTAAGCAACCTTAAAACATGAATAACAGTTAAATGAAGAAGGGAGCTATTTGGTACTTTAAGAAGATATAATATAATCCCAAGAAACTAGAAACACCAATCAGAAAGGATATATGCACCCCTATGTTCATAGCAGCACAATCTACAATAGCTAGAATTTGGAAAGAGCCTAGGTGTCCATCAGCAGATGATTGGATCAAAAAACTTTGGTACATCTACACAATGGAATACTATGCTGCCATAAAAAAGAAGGAATTCTCATCATTTGTAGCAACCTGGATGGAAATGGAGAACATCATGCTGAGTGAAATAAGCCAGTCATTGAAAGAAAAACACCACATGACTTCACTCATTTGTGGATAATAAAGAACATTATAAACTGATGAACCAAAAGATAGATATAAAGATAGTATATCAACAAGCAGACTGTCAAATTACAGCGGGGAGGGGAGGAAGATCTGGGGGAGATAATAGATCAACCGAAGGACTTTTATACATGCACATAAGTACAACCAATGGACATAAAACTCTGGGGAGGGAGGGGATGTGAGGGAGGGAGGAAGGGGGGGCAAAAAAAAATAAAAAAAAATATATATTTAAAAAAAAAAAAAAGACTGAAGAAAGGACCTCTTTTCCACTATTTCGAATGCTTAATAGCTAATTTCATAACATCACATGTGCCATTTTAAGAAAGTGATGATTTAGTGGGAAATTAATGCTTTGCATCTGTATACTGTAAATATAAATGATGATTTGTTTGAAATGTGTAACTTGGATATGCAAAAGATAATAACTCACAATGTTAATATTAAATATTCCTTCAAAATAAAAAAAATAAAAAAAATAAAAAAAATAAAAAAGGAATATTCCAATGTGGGACAAAAAAAAAAAAAAAAAAAAAAAGAAGATATAATATAAACAAACAGCATGAATGGGGAATTGCAACTGGAATGGTATTAGACTAGATTGTAAAGCAATAGTTAGGAATAATGTAGGAGAAAGCTTAGTCAGAGGGATTGAATGTTATGCTAAGGACTATTTATTTATTTAATTTGTTTTATATAATAAGGACTTATTGAAGATTTTTTTGTAGGGAAGTGACATTGTTGTATTTAATTTTAAATATTATTCTGGCTACATGGTAGAAGCTGGATTAGGGACCTAAGAATAGGAAAGAGAAGTTATTACTGTATCTTAAATGTGTAATAAGTGCCTATGTTGAAGCACAAGTGGAAAAGAAGGGTCATATTTGAGAAATATGTGCCTGGTAAAATAAACAAAACTTGGTGATTTATATGAAAGGAAGAGGGATTAGATGATGGTAACAATAAGAGAATATAAGATGAAAAACAAGTTTTGTAAAAAAAATAATGATTTCACATCACTCAGTTATACATATTCTTTCAGATATTATCATTGTTACTCAATTGGAAGGATCTGCATGTTGTAGCTCTATTGTTTTTCTTAGAATATTTTCTTTTGAATTAATTATTAAAATAAAAAACTATAACATTTAAAGTCAATTATATATATATCATTTATATTTGAAACAACAAATTCATTGTTATTTCAGAATTTATAGGAAGTGCCTCATCTGAAGACTTCAAGGAGATTTCTGCAACTGAATCACGTAAGTTTCCACTCATTTAAGCATCAGTGTTATTAACCTCTATTGAGGGAATTGATTTCTATAATCCTATCTAATAAAGGAGTAATATGTAAATTAACAATCACTGCTACACCCACAAGCCACACCCACCAGCCAATCATAGTGAGTATGCAAATTAACCCCAACCAAGATGGCTGTGGCCACAGAGAGCAGGAGGGAGGCTTGGGTTTCCTTGGCAATGGAGTAAGCCAAGCTTTCCACACATCCTGGCAGGCCCAGGCCTCCACTCAAGGGTATAAAGTTTCAATTATAGAAAGTAAATAAATTCCAACAAAAATGGAGGCAGCCGTGGAGCTGGAAGAGCAAGAGGTTAAGGTTGCCCTGGGAGATGGAGGAAGCCAAGCTTCTGCATCCCTGGCCAGTTTAGGCCTTCACTCCAGGCTACAAAGTTTCAATTATAGAAGATACATAAATTCCAACAGAAATGGCTGCCATCAGGGAGTGAGCAGGAGGCTTGGCTCCACTCCAGGCTACAAAGTTTCAATTGTAGAAGATAAGTCCCATACACCAGGGCCTCCGCTTGGATCACTGGGGGCTGGCCTGAAAACCACAATAGGACCCTCGCCCAGGCCACCCCAGGCCCTAAGGTAATCCTCACCCTTATCTGGGGCACCCTTCAGGGCAAACCAGCTGGCCCCTACCCGTGCACCAGGCCTCTATCCTATCTAATAAGAAAGTAACATGTAGATTGACCATCACTCTTAACATACAAGATGGCTGCCTCCATGTGGTCAAAGATCCTGCCCCCATGTGGACACAAGATGGCCACTACAAGATAGCCAGCAGGGGAGGGCTGTTGGGAGGGACCAGGCCTGCAAGGAAGGGCAGTTGAGAGAGACCAGACCTGCAAGGGAGGGCAGTTGGGGGTAATCAACCCTTCAGTGGAGGGCAGTTAGGGGTGACCAGGCTGGCAGAGGAGGGAAGTTGGGGGCAAACAGGCTGACAGGGAAGCAGTTAGACATAAATCAGGCTGGTATGGGAGTGGCTAGGGGGTGATCAGGCTGGCAGTCAGAAGCTATTAGGGGCAATCAGGAAGGCAGGCAGGCAAGCAGTTGGGAGCCAGCAGTTCTGGATTGTGAGAGAGGGATTGGGCCTAAACGGGTAGTGGCATATCCCTCGAGGGGTCCCAGATTGGAGAAGGCGCAGGCTGGGCAGAGGGATACCCCTCCCCGCTCCGCACAAATTTTGTGCACCGGGCCTCTAGTTTCTTATAATTTAAAGTAACAATTATTAAGTTACAGCATATATTCCCCTTAATTTTAGAGTCATACAATCAAGCTGGTTATCAAGTTTCACCATTTCTAGTTAAGGCTACATGTTACCAAAAATAGACTCATTTTTGAGGAGCACCATGTTATTACTGGGAATGGAGGATTTTAGTTGTGTGATGAGAGTATACTACTGACTAGTTGCAGGAGTTGCAGGCCTTTAAGATGGAGCAGTAATAAAATTAAGAGATCATTTTTAGACTTTGTTATTATTAATTACAGATCATCTTGTAAACACTAATGCTACTGGTAGGTACTCAGCTGTAGTTACAGCTGCTAGAACTAGGATGTTAAAGTTCTGACAACTTGTCAACAGGAAGGAGACATTACCTTGGTTATGTCTTAATAATGGACAGAATTTTATAACAATCATGTAATATATACTATGGAATACAGTTTAGAAGTAGAAAATAAGAATTGATTAGAAAAATTTGATGGGAATCCTGTTCTCTTTCAACACGAGTTTTAAACCCTAATGTTTCTGTGTATAAAACAAAGACAGATATACATTCTTCAATACTGCCAGGTTCTATTATATATAGACTTCTGGTCAATAGATTCTACCTATGTAGGATAGAAAGGCATCTAGAGCTTTGGAGTGGATAGTGAAAGCCTTTCTCTACATCAGACTCTACACATCTATGGAGCTCTCTTAACCTGTTAACGAGGGAGTTCCCTTTTTAATTACGCAATGTACAATGGGTGCATACTCTTTCACTAGGACGTGTCAGTATGTCACATCCAGCGGACGTAATTTTATATTATTATTTTTTAATTTATACTTAATTAAAATAAATGAAATATATATTTTTTGTTTATTTATATATAAAGCACAAAGGAAAATACAAAATTATAAACAAATAGAAAAGAATACCAACAAAAAAATGGAAACATTGAATTAAAAAATTATAAATTTTACAAACAATTATAAAGATTACAGCTGAAGCCAGTTTGGCTCAGCAGTAGAGCATCGGTCTGTGGACTGAAAGGTCCCAGGTTCGATTCCGGCCAAGGGCATGTACATTGGTTGTGGGCACATCCCCGATAAGGGGTGTGCAAGAGGCAGCTGGTCGATGTTTCTCTTTCATCAATGTTTCTGGTTCTCTATCCCTCTCTCTTCCTCTCTGTGAGAAAATCAATAAAATATATTAAAAAATATTACAAAAAATATATACCGTCCCTCTCAGGGCACAACATATATTTCAAGGATGTATTCATATGTCCTACCTGTTCCCGATAGTGTTTATGTTTGACGTATTTATAGGTCCTGCTCGGTTAACAGGTTAATCTGTGTGGTTTACTTCTCTCTGGTACTGTGCCCTATTCATTCTAGTTGCCAAAACTCTAAACTTTGTCTTTGAACTCAAGGAAACTCTTTGGATTCTTCTTTCTTATGCTGAGGCCTAGAAACACCAGGTAATAAGCTGCCATGAATGTCTTAAGTCTTTTTCCTTTTCTTTTCTTTTTTTTTCTCAGGGATACTTCCTTGCACTTTTTGTTCTCTAATGTCTGAACATTGCTGTTCCTTTATTTTTGTCCAGTTTTTCATTATTTAAAAGTGGAAGGATAATTCTGGACCATGATGCTTTATTATGGTTTAAAATAGAAGTCAATGTGCCTATTTATATGCCAATGGAACATATCCTCCAACAACAAAAAAAGTTCCCAAAAGTACAGTAGAAATTCTTTTTTTTTGTTTTTTTTTTTGTTTTTTTGTTTTTGTCTTTTTTTAAATTTTAATTTTAATTTATTTTTATTTTATTGGTTTTTTACAGAGAGGAAAGGAGAGGAACAGAGAGTTAGAAACATTGATGAGAGAGAATCATCCATCAGCTGCCTCTGGCACACCTCCTACTGGGGATGTGCCTGCAACCCAGGCACATGCCCTTGACCGGAATCAAACCCGGGACCCTTCAGTCCACAGGCTGACGCTCTATCCACTGAGCCAAACCGGTCTTGGCTGTCTTTTTTTTTATTATTAAATTATTATCTGTGTACATATCTTACCACCCCCCCCCCCCCATACATACCCTAAAATATAGAAGAAATTTTATGCATGACTTTTCAGGGAAGCATAGGATAGGGTTACATTTTACAATATGGTGTAAAACCTTTTACAGGTTCCTAAGTATCTTTTTTTCATGGAAAAGTCCTTGAGCCCATTGGTATACATCTATTCTCTGTCAATATTGTTTCACTTGTATATGCTTTCTTCTTCTTCTTCTTTTTTTTTTTTTTTAAAACTAGCCCCTTTTGGAAAAAAAGAAAAAATAACCAATGGGACTACATCAAACTAAAATGTTTCTACACAGCCAAGGAAACCATCAACAAAGTGAAAGGACAGCCCAATTGATGGGAAAATATATACATGATGATACATCTGATGAGGGGTTAATATCCAAAATTTATTAAAAATGCTCACATACACAAAATAATCCAATTAAAAAATAGGCAGAAGACATGAATAGAAACTTCTCCAAGGAGAACATACATATGACCCAATAGACATGTGAAAAGACATAGACATATAATTTGTATCTTTTTATTAGCTCAATGACACTAATAGAAAGATGCAAATTATAACCTTACATATGTCAGAATGCCTATCATTAATAAATCCACAAATAAATAGTGTTGGTGAGCATGTGGAGAAGGGAAGTCCTTGTGCACTGTTGGTGGGACTGCATATGGAGATTCTTCAAATTTCTTTTGAGAGCCAAAAATTTTAAACTTAAATCTATTATAAATTGTGCTGCTATGAACACAGGGGTGCATATATCCTTTCTGATTAGGAATCACTGGGTCAAATGGGAGATCCACTTTTAGTTTTTTGAAGAAACTGCATATTGTTCTCCACAGTGGCTGAACCAGTGTGCATTCCCACCAGTAGTGCATGAAGGTTCCTTTTTCTCCATATCCTCACCTGCACTGGTTGTTTGTTGATTTGTTGATGATAGCCATTTTGAGAGGTGTGAGATGGTACCACCTTGTACTTAAGAATCTTAAGAATCTCAAAACAATAATTTGAAAGAATATATGCACTTCTGTGTACATTGCAGCATTATTTACAATTGCCAAACTATGGAAGCAACCCAAGTGCCCATCGATAGATGAGTGAAACAAAAGAAAAAAGGTGTGGCATGGATATACAATGGTATGTTACTCAGTTATAAAAAGAATGAAATCTTACCATTTGTGACAGCATGGGTGAAATTATTCTCTGTAAGAAAGTCAGAGAAAGACAAATACCATATGATGTCACTTGTATGCGGAATCTAAAGATCAAAGAACACTGAATCAAATTCAGAGAACAGACTGGTTGTTGCCATAAGGGGAGGAGTTTTAAGGGACTGAGTGAAAAGATAAAGGGATTAAGAAGTGTAAATTAGCAGTTATAGTCATGAGGATATAAAGTTCAGCATAAGGAATATAGCCAATAATATTGCAGTAACTATGTATGGTGCCAGGTAGTTACTGGAAATATTAGAAGGAACACTTTGTAAAGTATATGATTGTTTAACAAAAGTGGATACTAATACAAAAGAATACTGAAAATAAGCTGTTACTGAAAATAGACAAATAGTACCCCTTTCATCTTCAGCCAAACTTTATTCTCTTCTTCCTTCTCCATTCTCTAAATAGAATTAAATTATATAGCCCAGTGGTCGGCAAACTCAGTCAACAGAGCCAAAT